TCGCGTATCCCAATGCCGCCGCCGAGTCCGCATGCCATGCCAACTGTGGCAACGGCGACGGCATTTGACGATATGATGGAACTTTTGTGGACAGGCAATGAATATGTGAGTACCGATGTTGGCTGGGTCATCCCCGAGACGGGACGCTGATGAGTATGTTCGATTCTCCAGGGCAGGGTCTCTTCCTTTTACGGACCGGAGCTGCAACGTTATACCTCTGTTCGAGCCCATCCAGTTTCTGAGGGCTCAGTACGGCAAATAATCTTCCACGAAAGAGGCGTGATTTCGCTATCATCAAAGAGTGTGCATATGATTACCCGACGGGGTTTGACACAGTGGCACCTTACTCACGATGAAATGGTCGACCTCCGCTGCATGAGCTTCACCGCTCAAACAAATCGAATCCTTGTCGCAGGTTCTCAGCGCGTGATGTTCACGGTAGATATTGATAAGGGCACAATAGTCGAGAAGCTGCCCACTGAGCACGGCTACACGATGATGAAAAAGAGTCGATATCTCTGTGCGGCCACAGATACTGGATCAGTCAATGCCCTTAGTCTCTCGGACTTCAGTGTTGTCAAGTCATGGAAAGCTCACGGGACAGGCGTAAATGACATGGATGCGCGAAATGACCTGCTGGTCACCTGTGGCTTCTCAGTCCGCCACCTTGGATCGCCAATCGTGGATCCTCTAGCCAATGTTTATGACTTAAAAACCTTAACACCGTTACCTCCGATTCCGTTCCATGCTGGAGCAGCATATGTGCGAATGCATCCCAAACTTCATACCACCAGTTTTGTGGCCTCACAAACAGGTCAACTTCAAGTGATAGATCTCATGAATCCAAATTCGGTCAACTTAAGACAAGCTAATGTGTCACTGGTGCTTGGAATTGATCTATCACCATCCGGGGAAGCATTGGCCATCAACGATGCTGAATGCTCCATTCACTTATGGGGCTCGCCGACTAAGGTTCATTTTAATGAATTGAGCAAGGAAACGGAATTTGCCGATGTTCCTACGCGGCCTTCTCAGGTAGATTGGTCTTCCGAATCTCCATTGAATATGGTCGGGATGCCTTATTACCACGAACGTCTCTTTTCGGCGTGGCCAAGCCATTTACTTTTTGAGGTTGGCAGTCCGCCGGCTCCATTGGATCAGTCTATGTTACCATATTTACGCCCCGCAGAGATAGGACACCATGCTCCAAACCCAAGAAAGACTCGTCGATATCAAATTGAAAACACTCGCGCATTGACCACAGCAGAGCCGGCTCTTATTGCACCAAAGTTTTTGAGTGAAAAGGCCCGGGATTATAGCAAGTCAGACGGCTTGGTTGGCGATGCTGCAGAGGCTTTGGTAGGGGCGAAGATCAACGGAGAGAGCGATGACGATCCATTGCTCAAATACAGCAACGTAGAGATCAAATACAGCCGATTCGGTGTGGATGACTTTGATTTCAGGTACATCCTCCTCTTCCAATTCATTTACTACCCTTCGCTCACGTTCCCTATAGATTCTATAACAAGACGTCTTTCTCTGGACTAGAGACTCACATCTCCAACTCCTTTACCAATTCCCTCCTTCAGCTTTTCAAATTCATACCACTCTTCCGAAATCTAGCCCTAAATCATGCAGCCGGGTCATGCATTTTTGAACACTGTCTTTTGTGTGAACTGGGCTATCTATTTGACATGCTTGAAAAGGCAAGCGGGCAAAATTGTCAGGCCACCAACCTTCTCAAGACATTCAGCAGCTTCCGAGAGGCCTCCAATCTGGGCCTCTTTGAAGAGAATCTTACCAACAAATCGCTCTCAACCGCGATCCAAGCAGTCAACCGATTCTTCCTGACTCAAGTAGCTCAAGACTTCCGGACGATTCAGCCTAACTCAGAAGAGCTCGATCAGCGCTTAGCCACCATTGCGTCTGAGTCTATTCGGTGCATGTTCTGCCAGAACGAAATTGTGCGCCCTGGCAATTCACTTGCCAACGAACTGATTTACCCGAACATCGATATTAAACATGTACGCCGCAATCCTCTATTCCGCTTCTCCAATATCCTACGTGCCAGTATCGAGCGAGAGACACAAAACCGAGGATGGTGCAATTATTGTCGTCGCTACCAGCAGGTGACCATTCGCAAGACCATCCACCGCATGCCTTTAATTCTCATGCTCAATGCCGCCCTGACCAACCCTCTCTGCCGTCGGCTCTGGGCAATCCCAGGATGGTTGCCTGACGCCGTTGGAGTTCTCGTTGATGCGAGCGGACAGGTCATGTGCTTTGAAGGCGATGATCTTCGTGTCCGAATACAAAATCAAACACCTGGCCTCGCGGTATATGATCTGATTGGCTTGGTCGCGGAGATTGATATCCCAGAACATCAAAAGCCCCATTTGGTTTCTTTCGTCAATGTCTCCATTTCAGGTGCCGAGTCTGAAGAACAAGGCAAATGGCACCTGTTCAATGACTTCTTGGTCACGGAGGTCGACAGAGATGAAGCACTCCGATTTACGCAGCCTTGGAAACAACCTTCCGTGCTAGCTTACCAAGTGAGAGACCCACGCCATGTGGTCGATGACTCTTGGAAGAAAGTCCTCGATAAAACCCTGCTATTCCGCGAATGGTCTTTGAAGTAAGTTTTTCAAGACGATTGATCTTGACGCATGGATAGAAATACTAACAGTCGGCTTTCTGTAGTGGCGGCCATCAGGTTGAGTCATGTCAAACTCTCACCGAGGAGGAAATGCCACAGCCCGGAACACCTGTCGCATTGGACACCGAGTTTGTTGATCTGGAAAAAGCCGAGATTGACGTCAAGGCAGACGGGTCCAAGGAAATGGTACGCCCCAACAAGAGCGGGCTGGCCCGTGTTTCCGTCTTGCGTGGAGTGGGTGTTCATGAAGGAGCTCCCTTTATTGATGACTACATCACCATCCGTGAGCCAATTGTGGACTATGTGACCCAGTATTCCGGCATCAAGCCCGGTGACCTGGATCCGCGAACCAGTGAACACAATCTTGTCCCACTAAAGGTTGCCTACAAGAAGCTTTGGCTGCTTCTAAACCTAGGTTGTGTATTCGTTGGTCACGGTCTAGCCTCTGATTTCCGTAAAATTAACATCCAAGTGCCCAAGACACAAACCGTGGATACACAGTATCTCTTCTTCCACCCCGGGAAGAACCGGCGTCTCAGTCTCAGGTACCTGGCCTGGGCTGTCTTCAAGGAGCATATCCAAGAGGAACCCGCACCTGACACCTTACAAGGTCACGATTCGATCGAGGACGCTCGCATGGCTTTGCGTCTCTGGAAAAAATTCCAGGAATACGAGGATGCAGGTATTGTCTCGCAAATGCTTGAAGAGATCTTCCGCGAAGGCTCCAAGCTAGGATTCCGCCCACCTCCTAAGAACGGAGGCACCATCACCGTTCTCTCCCGACCTGGCACCGCTGTCACTTTGCAGAATGACAGCGGTCGCAACACTCCTAGCACCCCGGACACACGATCCGTGGTGCCAGTCGCCCTAACATCAGCCGCTCCCATCGCTGGACCCCCCAGCGCCCCTACCACCCCTCGTCAGGCTTTCAGGCGATCGATGGCCTTGACCCCGAGTAACGGGAGCTTTTCTGGACCTGGTACCGGTGATTTCTTTGGAGGTAGTCCACTTCGATAGATGACAATTCTGACCTTTTTTCCACTTGGCTCGTTTGGCTCTTTCCACATCATGTGTGTCGGAAAAGCTGATTCCGTATATTCTCAAGCCGTTAGAAGTGATAAACTCAGCCTGTGAATAGAATAGGGACGATAATAATACAGATTCTAGTATAAATAGAATAACTCTTTTTGGTCTTGAGTCATTGAAGTCTTCATCGTGTAGAACGTTCCTTTCCTTGTCCGGAATAGGAAAAAACAACTTTTTACCCCTAGTTAACAAATCCTACGTCCGCATCATCACCCTCCCCCCCCCTACCGGCGTGCTCTCGAAAACGTCTGGACTTTCTGTTTTCCTCTCGACTATGCTACTTGACGCAACTAATTTGATTGGCCACAACATCCGGGACACTCTACTGGAGCGGAGTTCATGTATATCCAAAGCTGTTCCCCGGTTAAAATCAAGCGGAAGTTCTGGGGAGGGGGATTGGTTTAGCACGGCTAGATTAACTGCAAGCCCTTGACCCATGACAAGCCCACCTTCTGGCACTTAGTCTCTTACATAGCCAGTTCAGCGGAGCGGGAGTACGTCGCAAGTTTGCAGTAGCTGTAAAAAGTACGGATATCCTCTGCCAAGATCACTCTGTGACACGGTACTCATCTTGTACATGTTTCAAACCGAACAGGAAATGTGAGACGAACCGAAGCTTTAGGCCTAGGAATGTACAAGACTTGCCACAATGTCCTTCTAGTTGACCAGAAACAGCCAAGTTGCTCGAGGTGTCGACTGAGCGGACTCAAGTACGTACCAACATGGACAGACTAAAAGACGACCAGGGCCCGCAAAGAGCTCGATCCAGTCTCGGACAAGTTTCCTACTTGACAAATTCCACAAGTGACTTCCAAGGTTGTTTCTAGTGGGATCGTGCTTAATTTAATCTTCATGTTCGGGTCACTTGGAGGAACTCTGCAAAACCTGATGGAAGGAGCCAACACTTTAGCTCTGCCAACTTCACCAACGGAGGGCCTTGACACATTTTTTGACGGAAATTTGAGGGACCTCTTCGACGTCAAATTCCCATCCCAGATTTTGATCTATCTAAGCAACTAAAATCTTACGATTTGTTCCACTGATAGATTGTAGAACCAAGCCATAAACTAGACTAGGATTGTAGTGTTTGACATCAATGTTGGATGTTAGAATGGAAGGCACACCTGATGTCATCTCCAAGGCCAGAAAAAAGAGAGGGCGGTGAGAAAAGCGGTCAGCTCAGTAGCTCCTAGTTTGTTACGGTCCCTTCTTCGTCACTTGCTACCCCTCGTTCATAACCCCACCTTCTCACGCCGTAATGTCGCGACACCGTATCAAGGATGTTGGATACGACGAGGAAGATTTTTATGACGATGACGACGCAATCGCTGACCCCGAAGAACAAGAGTTTTTGCAACAGTGCACCACCGCTGTTTTGCAACAGCTCGGTGCCGGGCAACCGTCAGTGACCGCCACGAAAGAAGAAGTCCAGGACGCATTATGGCACTACTACAATGATATCGAGAAGTCAGTCAATTACTTGAGGGGTATGTTTAATTTCATGATACTTAGATCCTCCGCATCACATCATCTTATCTATCGCGGGTTTCCGCGTTCAATTGTTTGTTGTGAAATTCAGCTAACCGAAGTTCTGCGTGCAGGAAAGAGAGAGAAGGAGGCTACGAAGCTGCAGAAATCGAAGATTCATTCAGGTAAGCTAATTTTATGGGGTAACTCTTATCCTAAAGTATCGTCGCTGGGCTCGGGGTCTGAGGCACATGATATTCTGTGCGCGGGTGCTACTGTCCCTTGCAAATGAAAATGTGTGTATCTGGTCCAAATCCATCCCATGTGATCTTTAGATACTCGAAACTGATGCCATACAAGTTTGAACCATGTTCTAACAAAACTTCTAGTGCCAGCATACCCTGCTCCTCCTCCTATAGCACACTTCTCGGCTGCCGATTTCTTTCGCGATTGTCCCTGGCTCAACATACCATCTCATCGAAAATCAGAAATCCTGATTGAGCCGCTGTATCCACGTTTGGGGCTCTTGGGAGGTGCGCCGGAGAGTGGTGGAAAACTTTCCAAACTGGCCGCCCTAGCTGCAGCCCGGAAGAAGAAAGAGAGCGAGAAGGCACCCCTGCCAGAAACTTCGACTCCATCAACTCCCAAAGTCGAACAACCAAAATCGCCACTGCTTGATCATCCGGGAAAATCACGCTCCCTTCGTGACAGACTTGCAGCTAGCGGGAGGTCCGCACCAAAAGCTTCAGAGGGTTCTGGGTCTCTCCGTCGTTTGGCAACCCCAGGCTCCTCTTTGCATCCGACACCGAACCGGCCTGAATCCGAAGCCAAAAAGCCATCAGTTTCTGAAGCTTCGGAATCAATGCAAAGGGTGGTGCTTGAAGCGAAAGAAGAACCAGAACCCCGGCAAATAATGTCCACCATTCGAGCTTTGCCGTCGACATTTGCCAGCACTATCGTTGGCGCAGCAACGGGCCCGACAGCAGCTGAGCCCAGCCACTTGCACTCCAGCAGCTCAGACTTGTTGAGGATCTATGGGCAGGATCATGCTGAACCTTTTGACTTTGCAGCGCCCAGTCCCGACGATGTCGTTCTCAATGCACAGAACACAGCGAAAGGTTTGGCGATCCGCAGGAAGGTTTAGAGGCAACTGCCTAATAATATGTAGGAATGAAGTCGAAATCAGCCGGATCGAAATCGGCAGCGGTGAAGAAAGGCCAGTCTGATCTGACAGGTGGCCTGAAGGATCTATCAGTGGAAGACAAAGTGTTTGTCAAAAGCAAAAATCTTGATGTCATATCAGAGTACAAGAAGTCCACCCGCAAGCGGTCCGCAAACTTTGTGGTTATTGGTAAGTCAATCGCCATTGGTGAGATGATGCCGGCCTAGACTAACTCAAGTTCAACATAGGGCACGTCGATGCTGGAAAGAGCACTCTCATGGGACGGCTGCTAGCCGATCAAGGTGCTATCGACCAACGGACTTTAGATAGGTATCGGCGAGAGGCCGAGAAGATCGGCAAGGGCTCATTCGCACTAGCCTGGGTGTTGGACCAAGGGTCGGAAGAGAGAGCACGAGGCGTGACGATAGATATTGCCACCAATCAGTTCGAGACCGAAAAAACAGCCTTCACAATTGTTGATGCACCCGGTCATCGTGATTTCGTCCCGAACATGATCGCTGGTGCCAGTCAGGCAGACTTTGCTGTTCTGGTCATCGATTCCAGTGTGGGCAAGTTCGAGTCAGGCTTGAAGGGCCAGACTAAGGAGCACGCTCTCCTGGTACGTAGCATGGGCGTACAAAAGGTTGTGGTAGCTGTGAACAAGATGGATACTGTGCAATGGGATCATGATCGCTTTGAAGAGATCGAACAGCAGATCTCCGCATTCTTGACCACTGCGGGCTTCCAGGACAGCAATATCTCGTTTGTGCCGTGTTCAGGGGTTCTGGGTGACAACATTTCTCGGCGGACTGATGATCCTCATGCGTCCTGGTACACAGGTCGCACTTTGATTGAAGAACTGGAAACGTCGGAGCCATACACACACGCTCTGGACAAGCCTTTACGTATGACAATTGGTGATGTCTTCCGAGGTGGCGTGCAAAGTCCGCTGTCCATCTCTGGTCGCATCGACGCAGGCAGCTTACAGATAGGCGACCAAATCCTGGTTATGCCCAGTGGTGAAACAGCAACTGTGCGCAGTTTGGAGGTTGACAGTGAACCAAGTGACTGGGCCGTAGCAGGTCACAATGTCGTCTTAAACATCGCCAACATCGACCCTATCCACCTCCGTTCCGGCGACGTTGTTTGCCGTTCTTCCTCTCCCATTCCTACAATCACTTCTTTCACCGCCAAGGTCCTGGCCTTCGAACACCTGATGCCCATGCAAGTGGACGTGCATCGTGGCCGCCTACATGTACCTGGTCGCATCGGCAAGCTGGTGGCGTCTCTGGACAAAGCATCTGGAGCGGCTATCAAGAAACGTCCCAAGATTGTCGGCCCGGGAGTTGTGGCGCGTGTTATAGTTGAAATGGATCAAGCTGTTCCTCTAGAAGCACCGACCAGGATTGTCCTGCGCGCAGGAGGCTCAACGGTGGCTGCTGGTTTATTAGAATGAGTTGTCTTGGCCAACGTCCATCTCGTTTCGTGAAACTGTCACGGTTTATCATCGGTAGTAGCCATAATAGTGCTCGCCTGGATCTTTTTTATTTTTGCACATTGAACCTTGTAATACCACTGTATATCGTAAAAATTGTATTCCTTCTGCGGTGTAAAGCTAGCTGCCGGGTATTTGTTTTATTGCACAAGATTTTATATATGCACAGTTTGAGAAGGACTTTCAAGTTCAATTATTAAATGAACTATTGAATTATGTAGCACGAGTGGTGCCAATAGAGTTAGACTCATAAGATGTGTACTAAATTCCCAGGGCAGGTGGATGCTCTGTGCCACGCCCCCCTACTCGGGAGATCCCCGGCCCAATCTAGGCCCGCAGTATGTTGTACAACATATAATATACGGATTATACCTTAGCAGCAGGTTCGTTGATCGGAGATGCCACTTATCATAATCAAAGGCTTAAGATCATATTAGGCTATTATAGTGTAGCATGGAGCCAGGTAGCAACACGTGGTCAGCAGGGACATGAGTCAACCGGGTAAACTTCAGCAGCAACTTCCAAGGTTGATCGCGGGAAGTCCCCAAGGGGCAAACATATGGCCCCTTCTAGCATGTTCGATCATTTGGCAGTCGTTGATTGGTGGAAGCACTGGGTAGTCCGTGGGAGGACCCCTGTCGCTAGGCTATTTTGGGAAGGGTGACGCCATTTGAGGAAGGCGGTGTGTCTGCAGGATGGCTTCTGAGTCAGCCACTGCCGAAGGAAAGCAAGCCAATCAGCGCACGAGAAGTGACCTGAACCGGGAAAAGGCCAGCATGGCCGCTGGGCCGTATCCGCGTACAAGAAGTCCTCTTTCTTCGATTCTTCTCTTGACCCTTCTCCCATTCACTCACTTCGCCCTGGGTGCCTTTCCCACATATCGTCGACTAATTCAAGGGTTCATAGAGTCAAACACACCTTGTGTTTACTCATCTGCGCAGCTGTTTAGAGCGGCACGCGCGAAGCTTCCATAACGACAGCTTCTTTGTCTTTGTGTTGAAAAAAAAAAGACTTTGATTTACCTCCTATACACACAAATTTCACAATGGCTCGCCTATCCGCACGCGATGGCGCGTCCAAGCCTTTCGCCTGGACGACCATCTTCTACCTTCTCTTCGTCCTCGTCGCGCCTCTGGCGTTCTTTGGAAACACCGCCCACGCTCAGGAGGAAAACTCCCCTGAGAGCTACGGCAGTGTTATTGGTATTGATTTGGGAACTACGTACTCGTATGTTGCCTTGGTCTTGGAAATTGATGATATCAAACGAGGCAGCTTGCTAACTTCCAGTATAGTTGTGTTGGTGTGATGCAGAACGGTAAAGTCGAGATTCTTGTCAACGACCAAGGAAACCGTATCACCCCGTCCTACGTTGCTTTCACCGATGAGGAGCGCCTCGTTGGTGACGCCGCCAAGAACCAATATGCCGCTAACCCCGAGCGCACCATCTTTGACATCAAGTAAGCTTTTACCACACCAATCACATCATGAGCTTAGCACTAATGCATCGCAGGCGTATGATTGGTCGCAAGTTTGATGACAAGGATATCCAGAAGGACGTTAAGAACTACCCCTTCAAGGTCGTCCAGAAGGATGGCAAGCCCCAGGTCAAGGTCGACGTCAACCAGTCCCCTAAGACCTTCACCCCTGAGGAGATTTCCGCCATGATCCTCGGCAAGATGAAGGAGATCGCCGAGAGCTTCTTGGGCAAGACTGTCACCCACGCCGTTGTTACTGTCCCCGCTTACTTCAGCGACGCCCAGCGTCAGGCCACTAAGGATGCCGGTACCATCGCCGGTCTCAACGTCCTCCGTGTTGTCAACGAGCCCACTGCTGCCGCTATCGCCTACGGTCTTGACAAGACCGGTGACGAACGCCAGGTCATTGTTTACGATCTTGGTGGTGGTACCTTCGATGTGTCTCTTCTGTCCATCGACAACGGTGTTTTCGAGGTTCTGGCTACCGCTGGTGACACTCATCTTGGTGGTGAGGACTTCGACCACCGTGTCATGGAGTACTTCGTTAAGCAGTACAACAAGAAGAACAACACCGATGTGAAGAAGGATCTCAAGGCCATGGGTAAGCTGAAGCGCGAGGTTGAGAAGGCCAAGCGTACTTTGTCTTCCCAGATGTCCACTCGCATTGAAATCGAGGCTTTCCACAACGGCGAAGATTTCTCTGAGACCCTTACCCGCGCTAAGTTCGAGGAGCTTAACGTTGATCTGTTCAAGAAGACCCTCAAGCCTGTTGAGCAGGTTCTGAAGGATGCTAAGGTCAAGAAGTCTGAGGTTGACGACATCGTTCTTGTTGGTGGCTCTACTCGTATCCCTAAGGTCCAGGCTCTTCTCGAGGAGTTCTTCGCCGGCAAGAAGGCCAGCAAGGGTATCAACCCTGATGAGGCCGTTGCCTTCGGTGCTGCCGTCCAGGGTGGTGTTCTCTCCGGCGATGACTCTATGGTCGACGTTGTTCTCATGGATGTCAACCCCCTCACTCTCGGTATCGAGACCACTGGCGGTGTCATGACCAAGCTCATTCCCCGCAACACTGTCATTCCTACCCGCAAGTCGCAGATCTTCTCGACTGCTGCCGACAACCAGCCTACCGTCCTGATCCAGGTGTTCGAGGGTGAGCGCTCGATGACCAAGGACAACAACATGCTCGGCAAGTTCGAGCTGACCAACATTCCTCCCGCACCCCGTGGTGTTCCCCAAATCGAGGTCGCCTTTGACCTTGACGCCAATGGAATCCTCAAGGTCAGCGCTTCCGACAAGGGCACTGGCAAGGCCGAGTCTATCACCATCACCAACGACAAGGGTCGTCTCTCCCAGGAGGAGATCGACCGCATGGTCCAGGAGGCCGAGCAATATGCCGAGGAGGACAAGGCTATCAAGGGAAAGATCGAGGCTCGTAACGGCCTCGAGAACTACGCCTTCAGCCTGAAGAACCAGGTCAACGATGAGAACGGTCTGGGTGGACAGATCGATGAGGATGACAAGCAGGCCATCCTCGACGCTGTCAAGGAGGTCAACGACTGGCTCGAGGACAACGCCGCCACCGCTACCATGGAGGACTTTGATGAGCAGAGGGAGCAGCTTTCCGGTGTGGCTTACCCCATCACTAGCAAGCTGTACGGCTCTGCCTCTCCTTCCGATGAGGATGACGAGCCCCTTGACCACGACGAACTGTAATAAATATCTTTGAGGCATAATTCATGGAGTTCCAATTTTTTTTTCTATTGCTTGAGTCCCTTTTTGTGTTCGAATTCACACGGGGCACTCTTTGTGTTCCCCTCCAAATTTTAGGCCTGGTTGATTGCCGGCGAAGAACACAAATACAATGATACCTCGCTTTCTTCTATTATAGATAGTGCCGCACCAAATCTACAAGTCTTTTTTTTAATCGAACTCCATCTCCACCGTGTTTCAGCGTACCCCTGGTACTTGCTAGTTGCCCATGTAGGACTTGTACCCGAGGCGTGGGATTTCTATGCGGAAGGTACATTTTGCTTTTGCTTTCTTCTGCATTAACCATGTACGATCTGTTATCTCATTTAAATGCTCTTATGGTGACGACTTAAATGCGACATCTATTGTGCTTGCTGAGCCACAAACGCCCGAATAGTCTCGGCAACGACCTGGTGATCATCCTCCTGCTTCAACCCACTAACAACAACAACACCAATAACACCATCCACGCCACGCACGCGAATCGGGTAGGCACCACCATGGATAGCATACTCATCCGCAACAGCACCGCCATTGGCACTCGGAACAGAGTACTTTTTAACAAAAGCAGCCTCGACCTGGTCCGCATCGGCATCAGCCGCGAGCCCACTAATGGTCTTCTGTCTCATAGCCCAGCTCGAGATACCAAAGCGGAGCACGGTGTTTCGCTTCCGTCGCACCCAGTTCTCGTTGTCGGGGATCGTGCCGCTCTCCGTCACAGACTGGAACACCACGTGGAGCGGGGCTCCCCCGCTGAGAGCAATGGAGATCAGGGCCGGTTGGCGTTGTCCGCTGGGGAGGCGGAGGATTCGGTCTCGAAGTGCATTTCCTAGCTGCCAAGCGGTGTCTGCTGTGAACGTGGGGAAGATTTGTTCCGCGCTTATTTCTTGTGCGATGAGGAATTCCGGCTGTTTCTTGATTAGCTTACGGGCTTCGGCTTGTTGGGAGAGCATGGAGGACTTGCGTCTGTGCTGGGTGCGGAAAGAGCCATGATTGAGGGATTGAGGTTTACTTGGGTATGTAGGGGTGTATGTCAAGAGTGAAGAAAAGTTGGGGGCAACTTTGGGGGGTCATATGGTATTTCTATGGACGTGGGGGTTCATGGTAGCCGTGGAGGGGTCGACCTTCTTATCGGCGCATCGATGATGTCGCCGACATTTCGACATTTTTACATTTCGACATTTCTCAGATTCATTGCTACGTTGGATTACAAGTTTGTATGTCTAGGTAGTCGATCCTATAACATCTCTGGATTTAGTCATGGCATCTATGAAACTGAACCTGCATGTTAATGTCCCGGGAAACCGAAATCGGCAAATCTACCGGGACTGCCCCTCCTTAGTGAACTCCGACGTCTCCGCATTCCGATGTACATTCCGATGACTATTCCGATGAACATCTTTCTTCAACCTATTACTTTGAATCATTTACGCTCCAATGCCACCCAATCAAACCTGCGACACCTACATCTCCCGTAAAGTGAAAATTCAGGGGTTCTTGGACCTGCGATACCTGTCGCGGTGCAGTAAAGCGGATGCACCGTCCGTACCCGAAGCCTGCGGGTAGGAGGGGCCCGAAATCTCGGCGAGCAACAGGCCACCGAGAGGCCCGGACATTCAATCTACCGGGAATTCGCAACCTGACTAATCTACATAAACATACCAAATCCCTAGCGATGAGAACGTTTCTTCATCCACATGCTAGATAGTACTGATTCATGATGTAGTATGCTCATGAGGTAAGGAGGACGTCGGTAGCCTTATGCAGCTGACTTTTGATTATCAGCGAGACAGACTCAGAGAAATAGAGTACGCCAAACCTGAGTGCTGTTCATCATCAAAATTCAGACTAGGAAAGTGAACTTTGTAGATGTGACACTGCGGGAAGACATGCAAATTCTCCAAGTCAATTCTCCGGGGCGTTGTGCATTGCAGATCTCCTTACCTATGGCAGCACACAGATAGAAAAGAAGAGGGCTTTTTGTGTGTTTAATCAACTACCAAACTTAGGAGACGCTTGTCCACTCAACGATTCTGAAATTTTTGTGAAATGTGACGCTTCAAACCGCTATTCTCAAGTAAATCGGGGTGTGTCAAACCCACAGTAATTCCAGACACGCAACGTCACCGAAAACGATGAGATCAAGAAACCAGACCTAAAGCCCCGAACAACATTTCCAACGCACAGTGTGAAGCCGAAAGCCCAGACTAAAAGGAAACAATCGCCATCTGGGTCATTACGTGCCCTTCGTGACTGGGCATCGGTGGTTTTGTGAAAGAATTAGACGTCGTCCATGTGCACCGCATGGGCGTAATATCCCTTTGTAGGGGTAGTCGGGGTAGTCAGGGTAGTCGGAGTAGTAGGTGAGTCAGCAGTCTCGATATCCCTGCGTATCCTGTCTGCACGAGGGCTGGAGTTTGGGGTGGTGAGCGGGGTGGCGAGCAACTCGTCGTTCTTCTTGCGCATCCAGTGCGCGCGCAAGTGATCCAGGGCTGTCTTGAAGTCGTCGAGAATGACCGTGTCGCAGAGACACTTGAAGATGAAGGATAGCTGGATTGTGGTTAGTGTGGAAAGATGGGAACCCCTTGGACGGAATAGGACAGGGACTTACTTTCCAGAACGGCTCGACGCCCGTTGGGAGCATGCTGGAAAAGGCGTTCAGAACGCTACAGGTATCGACAATTATGAAGATGATTGACAAACACATTGCCACCAACATGATTCCGAAGCGTGGGCTGACAACCACCAGTTCCCATAATCCAAAGTTGTATTCGCGCTTGATCGTCCAGAATAGGCTGGCCGTTGTGTAAACCCACCACGGGTCACTGTCATCAGATGATGTTAGAGTGGAAACAGTTCACATTGGAAGGAGTAGCCCTCAAGATCTGGGCAGAAAGGGAATGACGAACCGAAATAATGGTTCCAATGGCCGAGTCTTCAAGAAAATCTTGTTGATGTTGTTGAAGTATGTGAAGTTCGCATAGATCTCGAGGCCCCAGTAGGGCCAGCAGAGGATAACAGTGGTAATGTACATGATCGAGACCTTTCGGGATAGGAATGGGCGATTCTTCATCCAGGCGATGACGTTGTGCAGGGCCCAGGAGATGTTGAGACCGATCGCAGTCACGGATAGATACCAGCCATATACCGGCTCGTGGGGGAAGATGAAAGTCCCATGGGCCATAGCCAGGATGAGCTTTCGTTTCAAATATTAGCCGAAGATTCAATGAGCCGAGGAATGAGTGCGCCAGTCTTTTAGCTTCTACCTTACCTCAGCGAAGATCAGCTTGTGCAAGAGAATGTGTGACTTCATATTGGCGAGAGTGATAGCGGCCATAATGAGTAGACTTCCGACCATCAGACCCTGGCCCCACGCCTCGAGGATCAGGGCATCAGCCTCGGTAGGCTTCGAAATGTGATCAGTAGCCATCGTGGGCTGTATTCATGTCAAGCGTAGGCGGTTGCTAGGAAGTTACCGGGGAGGGTAAACAAGGGCCAGGCGAACTCGACAAAAGAAATGGTATTTGTGGAAGATTCTGCGCTTGGGAGAGGCAGAGAGGAAAGAAATGAAGTGCAAAGTTGGCGAGGGCATAAAAGTTACAAAAAAAAGAGCCGTCTCTAGTTTGTACCTACGTGCGACATCATTAGGGCTCAAACCGAAGGTGAAAGGAGATTTATGAATTAATTCGAAATTCACATAAGCACGGCCACTGGCATAAGCTATTCCTATTCTAAGGCTAATCCAACCCACAAAAAGTAATTCGTAGCATCGGACGGTCTCCGTTGGCTCTACTGGGGTGGCCGGGGGAACGGGGGAACAGGGGAGAAGCTCAAGGCTCAACCAGCTACACCTGCGGATGCCAGTTCTACCACCCTTGCCTGTCTCTTTTTGGAATGGCCAGGTCATTTCATATCGTCAGCCCCGGGAAAATCCCGGAATCCCTGACCCCCCCGGAGGCTCCCCGCAATGAGATGGATGCCCGTGCCTAAGAAACGGGGGTGGCGTTCATGCAGTTTCGAGCTAAGCGAGCTACTGCACGGTTATTGAATTTTTTTAAAAAAAAATTCACGTTTGTCTTGATTCCGAGCCGATACATGATATGGTAAATAAGAAAGATGCACTATAACATAGATCAAGCATGTTACTGAAGAACTGAGTTATAAAACTGAATGGCAAGAAAATCAGGAACACAGAGAACTTAAGACGAGGAAGATGAAAAGAACCAAAGAAGTGCAAGGGTCCATACTTTATTTCCCTATTATTGCTTCGTCTATAGCGTCTCTAAACTGGCTCGCTTAGCCATGTAGGGCTCGATCTAAGCTTTGGACGAAATGGATCTTCATAGTATACACACCTGTTCTCTTCGTCAATTAACCCACGTAGAATAGGTCATTGGTTTCTGACTCTTCAAGCCCAAAGCCATCCCCCAGCATCAACCTTTGTATATCTCTCAACTTTTATAGCCTCTTCAAATCCTTTGTATTTTGGGATGAGCGGATGGACATGGCCGATAAACTAGAAGACGTACGTAATTTGGTTCAAGATCAAAAGAAAACCATGAGAAAATCCTGCTTGCTCCTCTGTATTCACAACGTCTCTCTTTTTATCCTGACCCCGTGCATTTTCTATAACTGCATTGAAATCAACGTAGAAGTGGGTGGCCAAGGGTTCTGATATGCATATATAGGGCCCGGAGTTCTTCAAAGCTTGTTCTTCGACCTGAAACGGACTCCTAGCTGTGCCCAGATCTCAAATTACGCTTTTATCAACCCTACTGCATTAATTCCTTTAGTGTGACATTACTTCCTTGAGCCAAGTTGTATATTCAGGTTGAGTTGTTCTTCGCAAATTAGCCATGCCGAATTCTTGAGGCAACACGGCATGCGTGTCTACAAGGGCTCATCCTAGAACTTGTTCAACAACGCCAACAACCGACGAAGAGTCCGTGACCACTGGCATCAGCCTGGCTATTGACCCGAACAAGAAGACAGTCCTGGCCTCCTGGCTTACGGCTCTATCACCAAGGTTAAGGAGTTTGATGGGGACGGTAACCTAGCTTTCAGCGCTCAGTTTGGCTGTGACAATGCTGTGGCATCTTACCGCGGCCATCGCTGCCAGTGGACTGTCACCCCCTTTTTTTGGAAACCCTCCGTATCGGCCAACAGCACCAGCCTTACTACCACCATCTACATGAGCCGGAACGGCGCTGTCGAAGATGACAACCGGGCCGACTACGTGGCTTCTTCTGCTACGTCTAGCAACAACACTCCGATCACCACGGCTAAGCGCGCTGGCTTCGTAGACTTCGGCTGCTCTTGTCGACCCTTCGACCAATTTTCGTTCAGGTTGTCGCTCACAAAGGTACCACCGTTCTCCGTCTCTCGGAGATTGAAGCGGAACTAGCATCCATTTCTGGGTGGCAGCTTTGGCTTGCCCTTCATTCATGGTTTCCCTGGAGGGATAATTTGGAGGCACACATTATTGCATGTCTTTCTTCCTGTACACACATCCTTTGTACATACTAGTTTTCTGAGGCACATCTTGATTATCCGATCTGCACCAAGGCAGAGTGATGAAATTTTCATCACAGATCTATCTCATTCAGGTTTATCGATGGACATTTCCGCTAAACGACCAGGCTGCTAAAACGCTGTAGCTATTTCTTTGCCCTCCGGTCTGAATCATTGGATAGCGTAATATCCATCAAAATCTTCGTACGCCATACAGAACGGTTAGGTCTGTCTTACCATGCTCTCTTATGAATGTTGGACATGTCGCTGAGGATATCAAAAATGTGGGAACGACCTTTTTGGCGTGCTACATGGACTACCCTGAGTTTGCTCTGTTGTTGAAGGTCATTTCCTATAGCAAGGCCTCCTAGAAGGTGAATGTGCCTCCATTGTCGACTGCTGAATAGATCTGACATTCCTCGGTAGACTCAACCCCAAACGAATTCTCCGTGTGGGCTCCGCTACAAACCAGAAATTACATTCCAATTGGAAAAATGAATGTCTAGAACGCCACATTTGCCCTAGCCATGGAGTTTTCCATTTTTGATCAAGTCAAGGGTTTCAGAGGGTAGCATCAACCTGTGTAGTATGTCATGCCGTCCACGGGGGTAACTGACGATAAAAGGTTGCTGAAGAAGCATCTTCCATCCCCTGAGCCCTGAGTCTGGTCAAATACTAAGGGGTATGTACTTGATGTGTTCTTTTCAAAATGAACCCTCCAGGTAGCGGGCTAGTCACATTCTTCAATAGCATCGATCGGACACAAGTAAAACATCCGACGTTTTGGCACTTCCCATTCTATCATCGATGTACACCTTTCAATGAAAGATCCGCACATTCCACGCTGTAACTTGAGAATCCTGGTAATTGTTCTGGTCGATCGTCCGATCTTGTTCCGGGGGTACCAAGTCAATGGGGGCACTGAATAGGGAAATGGTGACATTCTTGACAGGAAAGGGTCCGATTTGGCTACGATGTTGTACATTGTGGTACTTTCACACCCCTTCATTTTGCGCCACATCTACATTGCACAACCTTACTTGGCGTCCAACTTCCCCTGAGCCGGGATTCATAGCAATTGCCTAGAAGCATCTTACCGTGGGGAAGTAGAGCTAAAGGTCTAGGCTCACAGTGCAACACATCAACAAGTGGAATGGTCCTGAATGAAGGAACAGAAAACGCCTATATAAAGCCGCCCCAATTCCTGATTTCAACAAGAACCAAAAGAGAGTCCCCAACAGTTCTACAATCAACCAAGATGTATCTCTCAACTATCCTCCCTTTCCTCTCGCTCACCACCCTCGCCCTCTCGAACCCAACAATCTATGAAAAGCACCTGGGCCCAGGAGATATTTCCTTCAGTGCCTTTCCATCTTCCTCGAGTAGTGGTCCAGTGAGACCCCTGAGCACCTCACCACCGGTGCACCGAAATCTGGGCCATGCGATAGTGCACAACAACTGCAAGTTCCCAGTCTACTTGTGGTCCGTGGCCTCTACGGTCCTGCCGGAGCGAACCCTCCTCCCAAACGATGAGTACACCGAGGTTTTCCGCGAGGACGCCGAGACTGGCGGCATCGCAATCAAGATCAGCACCAACCGTGACGGGCTGTACTCTAGTGCTCCCCAGATGATCTTTGCGTACAACCTCTCCTCTGACAAGGAACGCGGCCTGAGACAGGATAAAGTGTGGTATGATCTTTCCGATGTCTTCGGGGATCCCTTTGTGGGTTACCCAGTGAGTCTTACGCCTTCTGAGCCGTTAATTTCTTGGAAGGATGGGGTTCCGCCTGCTGGGAGTCAGGTGAGGGCTGTTGATGCTTCGAGAGATTTGGTGTTGTCACTCTGTTGAGAGGTTGGGTTTGTGGTTTGGAGTGAGATGGGACTAGAGTATCATTGGAGGTTCAGACAGTGTAATGGTTATTGGAGATGTGCGTGGGTTGGATATGTTAGTTAGTGCTACTCAATCGAATCACTTGACTTTTCATGCTTTACCACTTATGCCTACTGGTATCACCGGGGATGGATTTGGTTGTAGAGGTCATGAGCATTTGAAAATGCCTAAGACAATCCCTTTGATAGCTATCAGATTTCCTGAAATAAGGGGGTAAGAGAGAAAGACAGGGAGAGAGAGACAAGACCTCGGCCAGAAGTCCGGGGCATTTCCCCGCATTTCCCCAATTTGTCCCACATTTCTTCTTCCGGTCTCGTAACCTACGTTGACGTTTTTGTACGTCAACATCACCTTCTCTCTCTTCCAATCCTATACAGCCCAGAGAAGACGCAGAGCAATGGTTTCGCCAGCTATCAGAGTCGCCCCCTCAGCGGCCAATCGCGCCTTGAACTTGCTACGCACAGTACAATACACCCACCCACCCAACTGTCCATGCCATAAGAACCCCAATCATCACCACAACTACCAGCAAACCTCGTCTCTGTTCGACCATGTGAAGCGCCGCATGTCCACACCCGTGGACCGTTCGCGCGAGAAGGAGTACGCCTTCGAGATGGCGGCGTCTAGCATTCGCTTCGGACCCGGAGTAACCAAGGAGGTCGGGATGGACTTTACCAACCTCGGTGCGAAGCGCGTGTGCATTGTCACCGATTCCAATGTGGCCAAGCTTGCTGCCATGAAACAGGCTGTTGAGGGTCTTACCCGCGAGGGCATTGAATTCACCATCTTTGACAAAGTTCGCACTGAGCCCAAGGATAGCTCGCAAGTCAACCCCAAGCTTCAAGCGTGGCTGTTGCGTAGGAACTGACATGTTTTTGAATTAAGTATAAAAGAGGCTATCGCTTTTGCCAAGCCCTATAAGCCCGATGCCTTCCTGGCCGTCGGTACATTTCCCCTACCTGCTCCCCCTTGGTACACACAACCTGACATCAAAACAGGCGGCGGCTCCGTAATCGACACTGCCAAGCTCATGAACCTGTACACCGTGTTTCCCGAAGCAGACTTCCTCGATTTTGTCAACGCACCCTTGGGAAAAGGCCTCCCAGTAGACCGACCTCTCCTCCCACTTGTCGCCGTCCCAACCACAGCCGGCACAGGCTCCGAGACAACAGGCACGGCAATTTTCGACCTAGTCTCCAAGAAAGCCAAAACAGGCATTGCTCACCGGAACCTGAAACCAACCCTCGGAATCTGCGACCCGCTTAATACCCGCACCATGCCCTCAGCCGTGCACGCCGCCTCCGGCCTCGACGTCCTCTGCCACTCCCTCGAATCCTGGACCGCAATCCCATACAACGAGCGCACCCCGCGCCCAACAAACCCCATCAACCGACCCGCCTACCAGGGTGCAAACCCCATCTCCGACATCTTCTCCTTCGCCGCCCTGCGCGCAACAGTCAAGTACCTGCCGCGCGCAGTTCGCAATCCAGACGATCACGAAGCACAGTCAGAGATGTTGCTCGCGGCTACGCTCGCCGGCGTCGGTTTCGGAAATGCAGGAGTTCACCTCTGCCACGGTATGAGTTACCCTATCTCCAGCCAGAACCCGGGCTATAAGCATGCGGGCTATGAGGTAGACCACCCCATCATCCCGCACGGTGTTTCTGTAGCTGTCACCGCACCCGCTGTCTTTCGCTTTACTGCGGCATCGAATCCCGATCGCCATCTGGCAGCAGCTGAGGCGTTTGGGGTTGATATCTCGAATGTTAAGCGTGAGAGTGCAGGTGAGGTGCTTGGGGCTGCCATTGCGGAGTTCCTTGCTACGCTCGGTGATCAGCCGCGTGGGTTGAAGGATCTAGGATTCAAAGCTGCCGATTTGGAAGGGTTGGTTGACGGCACGATTCCGCAGCAGCGCGTACTAATGCTTGCACCGAATTTGAGTAAGGAGTTGGAGGCAGAAAGGGGCGAATTAAGGAATTTGCTAGAGCAGTCTTTGGATTATTAGGGTTGGTGCCCGTTGTGGAAGTGGGGGTTTGAGAACGGACTTGCATCTTACATCTATATACTTACAAACGCCGGTGTGATGTATCAAAAATTGGAGATCGAAGTTGTTTCTTTGTTCATGTTGCTGGGGGAGTAGAGTTTAAGGGGGATCTTTGTCCTAGGCCGGCCAAGAGACATCTTTGTCACTTTTCATGTCAACGCAGCAATCATCATTGACTACGCCAACTCAAAAACTTGAGGTGATGAGCCGTCCATCGGTACTGAAGCACTCGCATCAGCCGGGAGGACCTTTGCGCCGAGGACACCCATTGACGACGCTATGCGATCCAACCAAATCACCGCGCGGGGGTCTTGTGGATCAGAAGTCTTAGACGGACCCCGTCCAAGCTCGGAATGAATGCGAAAGGGGAGGGCGAAGCTTTTCGATGTCGTTGAAGTGGGGGAAATAAGATATTCACTGCCACTACTGGATGGCGTGGCAACAGACGACTCCGGTGAATCCGGGACAGAAATGAAACGCAGTCGGTCTCCAAGACGGTCGGAGAGCTGCTGCAGCGTCTCTATCATACTTTCTGTTCCATTGAGGAGCAGCGATGGACCGGTGTCCGGGAAGGTCTCTGGCACAGGGCCTATAAAGGAACCAGGACGCTGGACGATCCCTTGCTGACGCTCACTATGCGCGCTGATGCATGCCCGAAGCTCCGCAGCGAACGAGCGCAGCCGACGGGAAGTGTCATGTATGCGGCCGATGAGATTTGTAATTGAAATTGTGTCTGGCTCGTCCAGCATTGAAAGTAGGTCACGGGTCTCGCTGATATACCGTGGGCATTTGGCGAGTTCCATGAAAGCCAAATCGGATATTTCTCCGTATACAGACCACTCGCCGGGTTTCTTGCAGTCTTCGGCCCTGACTTTCGTCGCGTAGGATTGCCACTCTTCTTGGTCTAGGAAGCAGGGTTTGCCCTCATAGACTGCTGTGGCAATGAAGAAGCCGCGAAAAGCAATCCAGCACCATCTTCCGAACCCGGTCCCGTGCGCTTCTGGGCCTCGGCTTATCATCAGCCGCTTGGCGCCGTCGGAATGCACGACCCAGGCGTCGGGCGTGGTCTGCGCGTACATCTCGAAGACACTCAGGATGATAGATGTGCATAGCATGTTGTCAGACTTGGCATGGTCGAGTTTCGGAATGGACCGGATAACATCACGCAGCGACTTGGAGTACATTTGTCGACTTGCTTTGAGGAGAGCCTTATCTTGAGTCAGGTGCGCTAAATAGACGGAGCTCAAGCAGCAAACTGCATAGTCGAGGTACACATCCTTGCCAAAATTCATGACGATGTGTTCGGCGAACCCGGGCGTGTTGCCAGACCGGAATCGATTATGATAATAGAGGGTCGGAAACGACGTGCTGATGAAGTCCAGAAATAACTGTGGTTGGGCGGCACGGAAGGACTTGCGCACCAGGGACGGCGACACTTTTTCATCCCAGCCACCCAAGGAGGAGTGTCGTTGCATGAGCGCAATCGCATTGCCACGCACTACTTCTGCAGCGGTAGCGGAGTGACCGTGTACGGGGGGCGATCGGTCGGTTTGGGTTGAGGAGGCAGCCGACGCGGCTGGGCCTGCGCTTCTTCCCTTCCGTCGCGTGTTGGAGCGATGTCGCCGCTCCAGATTGGGGCCTTCGTCTTGAAAGCGAAAGATTCGCCTGTAGCCCGGACAGTCACGACCATATTTCTGGCACTGGCTGCACTCCGGGACTGCCTCGTCACACTGGAGACCTTGTTATTTCGAGAGCTCGATCTTACCGTGGGAATTGACATTTACCTTAATCCGTCGTTCGCGACACAGGCTACAGCCTTTACTGTGCGGAACTCCCACCATGGTGTGTCAAGAACAGTGAGCTATCATCACGGGGTAGATGAAATGCTAATGTGTTCAAGTGCCCATATTTTGGTTTCACGATTCATGAAGCTGTGTAGAGCCGATAACAGCCGAATGGAGTTGATTTGCTGAAAATTGTGAAGCTATCAGCCCTCCGTGGTTGCATGTCGTGAACATTTTGCCAAGCGAAACGTCAAAACGGGCCGTTTAATCTATTTTTATCCCCACATCTTTAATCGAATGGCCTCATTCGAGTCATTTGGACTTTCTTATCTCCTTCAAAAACTCTTCAGGGGTCTTGCAGCCTCACCTTGAATGGCCGGATGTTCCTATCCCTGCCCCTATTCATAAATTGCTTCTGTCGGACGTCAAATGAAACTCGGCAGCATGCCCCACTCATTCTCAACGGTCAAGTCGTCGGCAAGGCCTTTGGTTGTCTTGCAACAAGGGCGTTTGCTGTGTCACTCAAAGGGTCGTGAATCAAGAATATCAGAGATGATCACAGGCCTCCTACGAGCACTTTGCGTACTCCCTCGATGTATTGGGTGTGTTATGAGTTCACACCAGCAAGAGGCGTTGAGGAACTGTGGAACCCTTGAAAATGATGATGCTACCTTGCAAACCGCATACCTTTTTATCGCGAATATGAGGCTTTCCTCGAGAGCTGCGCACTTTTGAATGATTGACCCGATCTATGAAGAACGATTATCTTGGAAGGTTCTTGGTCGATGATGAAGATCGACGTCAAGATGTGTGTGGAATCATCAGTCAAATTCGTTAGGACTAAAGAATTTCCTTTCACTTCACCTCTCAATTCAAAAATGACTCGAGAATTTTCTCCCACGACCTTTCCACCGAGACTCCACTGGCCGGAGA